ACCTTTAATCAAACTGACAGCTGAGATGCTATAATCAATGAGGCTTTACAGAATGGCCGGCTGTGTAACTATGAAGGGCCTGTGTGGCGGGTTGGTTTCGTGTTAAAGTCACTACGGCGTGTTAAACTGTTCAAATGCTTCTACTTTCAGTAAATATGAACATTTGTATTCATCCATCCGTGAATTTTCTTCTGCTTTTCCAGTTTAGGGTCACACGTGCTCCGGACCCTCTCTGAACACGTTTATGTTCGGGAAAAATCCTACATGTTTAAAATGCAGCACAGCACCAATTCACATACTGTTTTCATATGCAAGTGTGACTTTGTTCATTTAAACGAAAACGCCACAGTATTTTTTTTAACTACTATGAAAGAATTTTGATAAGCTTTTGGTCAGCAATGAGACAAAATCATTCTCTGAAGTCATCGATGTTGAAAATCTGGGCATGTTCACGTAAACTTCTTGTCCGTTTTGGCAGCACCAAATTCAATTCCCTGCTTTCTCAGCTCAGCTATGTCCTGTCTATTACACACAGTATTAGAAAGGAGATTTTAAAAAGTGGGGTGTGATTTGTGCTGAGTAAAATCTTTCCTCTGAAAAATGTGATCTAACAGCCTCCCGTCAAACGTCCTCCCTCCAATTCTAAGGATGACAAGTACTCCTTATGGGTTTTGGGAGTGCAATAAAATTTTGTCACAGATAATTAAACCAGTCAGCCAGCAGCCTTGTGAAAAACAATAGCTGAGAATCTCCAAGACTGCCCTGCTGACATTTAGACTGTTTGTGAAGCCGTGTCACAATTTCAACAGTGCTTCCAAATCCACGGTCAACATATATAGTTTAGACTTGCTTTTCAGGATCTGTAACAGACTGGCGGACTGCTGGAGCTGAAAATTACAGGACTATGAAGAGCAGCGAAAGTCAGAGGACTTTTTTTTAATTAGGGCTCAAACTCAGGCAAAGAGAAACGTATCAATCCAGACTCGTATAGCGCCAAGTGCAGCTATTCTAGGAATAAGCTATGATATAATCTGTCATAAAGGTTTTTCCTCATCTGTAACAACATGGCCTTAAATTATATTGTAAATACGTCTGGTATACTGAAGTCACAGCACTATATTCATACTTCTCTTAAACAAATAAAAACCCAACAGCAGCAGGTCAGGAATTATAGCTTCTGTGAAATCAAACTTGTGGAGATGATGTAAAAGTTGTCGACTCTTTCCACGTACTATATTTTAGGGCAGACAGAACAGTTTAAACGAGCGCAGCTCTCTAATCTAGTGTTCATTGCATAATGTCTTTTCACTTGATGTTTTGTTGTCAGCAAAGGTTTACCACAGAAACACAAAAGTAATCCGCTTTAATTTCTCGCCCACTCAGTGAATTAGAGCCATTTTTCTGAACCTCGGCAAAATGAAATTCAGCACTAACAAAACGATGTTTTACTAATTAAAAAAAAAAAAAAAAAGACTTTCATATTTGTGATAACGCAGTGAATTTGATCATATATGATCTTATTGCAAGTCTGCCGATGGGACTGTGGGGCTGATTCTGCCCTGAGGTAGAATCATTTACTAATGGCCTCTGTTTGCTCTCCAATCAATAATAGTAATGAGACTATTAACAAACACAAAGCCATAAAACTGATTCTGGCACTTTCCAAGTTCTCTTGAACCTGTGTGATTAAATATTCATAGGGTTTCTATAGAAGCAAATCATAGAGGATCAAGTTTCTCATGCCTCATAATTGGTTAAGCACAGGCAGAGATGCCTGTTTCTCCAGCTTAAGGCCAAGAACGTGTAACTAAAAAGCATTTACACAGTTTAAGTTTTTAATATATTGTGTTTCACTACAAACAGCTATGATGACATACAGTTAGTGACACATGACAAATTTCTGACACCAGCTGAGTGGATGTAATGTGGTTACATGTTAAGCTCGACTTAGTACTACAGCCCTGCGCTGCCTGGAGGATGGGTGGACAGAGTACCTGAAAAATAACATGAAAAACAAACAAACAGAATTTACTTTAAGAATTAAATCGACCTGAAGAGTTCAAGAGAAAAAAAGTATGAATAAGTAGTTGAAAACATTAAATTATCAATACAAATTTGTAAATTATTAATAGAAAGTAAGACTAGCAGCTGTTAGGTAATGCATAAGCAGTGCAAACAGCCAGCTAGAATCATGAATAAAAAAGTTGGATGTGTTTGAAGTGTTGATTGAAAATGAAAATGATAGACTGTGGACTCCACTGTTAGAAGTAGAACAATCAACAGCATTAAATGAGTAGGTATGCTAACTAAACTGTGGATGAGTGGTTTTAATGATATACTAATAGGACACCAGCTGTAACAGATGGTTACAGTAAGGTGAATGGAGTTCATATCCAGTTTGAACGTGACGACTTTCCACAGGCCTGAGAGCACAGTGGGCATCTGACCCCGTCCTGCAACAGCAGCAGGAACAACAAACAAGTCCTTTATTGAATAAGCATCTATTTTTTTTATTATCAGTGCAATATAAGGTTTTAAGATTACAGTTTAGTTTTGCAAATGATTGAACATTTGTCATTACACATCAGAAAATAAGATGAATTATTGTAGAAGAACATTATTATGGAAAAATTTTGGATAACGTGGTACTAGTTACACTAAGATAAAGCATGCACTGTGAAACAGACAGTTTGCTACGACAAAAACGTTTTATTGAACTAAGTATTGCAAAAGTGAAACGACTGAATTTAATTTGCCTCCGGTTCATCAGACCTGCAGCCTCCCTGTCATCCAGCGCTCACATTGCTCTCCCCAGGCCTAAGGCTCTGCTCCGGATGTCACTCTTTATTTATTTACTCTGGACTCTCTGCTCGGTTCAGCTACACTTCCTCTGCTACTCTTGCGCAGCCAGCAACCCACCCGGCTCTCCACGCGTCCAGCCACACACTCTGCCCCGGCTCAACATCCCATCTGCATCGCCCTGCAGTAATTATTCATCTTTTATCTAAGCAGATCTTGGCCAAGGGAAAAAGATATTTTCCCAAAACTATGATGCTGTATAAAATGTAAAAGGCAGAATGATTTTCAAATCTCATAAACCCTTATTTTTCCACAATAGAAATCACACTGAATCTAAACTGAGACATGTTACTATTTCTATATTTATTTTTTTAAAACATAGGTTTAATATCAGCTCATTTTCAATTCGATAGTATACTCAAGTATTTTGCAAATACTTGAGTAAATGGGCTCGGGAACATTTCCACTCATGCCTGTGAACACAGTTTGCTATGCCATCCACAAATGAAGGTTAAAGCAAAGATGAAGCCTGCCATCTTGAGCGAGGCCAAGTGGAAATCCTAGAATCTGATATGAATGACACAAACTGTTTTACTGTAGAGTGTGATACGAATGAGGGGGGAAAACACTGTTCCACATGACTGGAAAATGCCATAAAACAGACCTGGGGTGGCACTGGGAAGTAAATGACTCCTTTGGCACACTTAAGCACTTTGAGATGTTTATCATTGACAGCTAACACCCTTTAAATTTGCTAAAATTACATGCTGATGGTTCAGAGACGTATGCTGAGATGTAACGTGTATTCTTTATGCACTCATCAAGACTATTAAGGAGCAGAAAATAATTTGATTTCCAAACAGCACAAATCTCATGCAGCCATTTCACATCAGCGCTGTAATAATCTATGCATGCCATTTCTAACAGACAGTGAAATTATATCTGCAGCAGCTTCTGCATCAATCTTAGAAAACATAAGAGTGTGTCACACAAACCAAAAGAGACAAAGAAAAAAAAAAGAGTAAAATTATTAGACTGAAATTCTGGAATGATTCTATATTAACAGCATTAACATAATACGTTACTTAAGCGTTGAGCTTCATTTAGGCTCTTTGGTCATCTATCACGTCAGGAACGAGTTACCTTTGTATAGTGACAACACAGCAAGGCAAACAAAACAGTTCTCCATAGACGCTGTGGGAATTAAACACAAGTGTAATCAGAATGTTTGAAATTAAAGATGCATTCACCTACAGCTATTTTACTAGTGTGAGGCTTGGAGAGCAAAGACATTTCAAGCATCCAACTGGACTAATGATTTTAGACATTGGGGAAATCGTTGAACTATACCCATAATTGAGCCTGTGATAGCCTTGGCAACCCTGATAAAGGCATCCTAATGGGCTGAGGCAAATTATCTGGCTCACAACAAGCAATCCTCGCAAAGGCCCGGGTCTGAGCTGCATAACTACTTTTGCAGAAATGAAGACATGAGGGATTAACAGTTATGTCTGCAATAAGAATGCACACATGAAACAGAACATCAGCTTTTCTCTGGAAAGTATTTGAAGAAAGTGCATGTCAAATGCCAAAACATCCAGCGAATGTTGCTCCTGATTCCTCCATTTCTGTCTCAACAGATTCTTACATTTCCATGCTTGATCTGCTGTGTCGCTTCATTTCGCAGATTGCTTTCTCTTTGCAAAAGGAGGACAGCCCCAGCTGACTAATCAAAATGCTGGCAGGGCCCGAAGAGAGGCCAGGAATCTCAGAAAACAAACACCGGCAGTAAATCAAAAGTGATTTTAGAGGATGATCACAGATGGTGAGACTGAAAAGTGCTCCTACAAATTCTGTGAGTCCCCGGTGATTCACACATTTCCCAAGCTGCTGTCTACACTTCTCCAAAATAGCTTGTGGCCCATTACAAATGCAAATAAAAAACATGACTTGAGACCAGTTCTGGAGGTTTAAGCACTAACTGACAAGTGAGAGATGGTCGTGGAACCACCAAAATAACCGTAACTGGAAGACAAACATGCTCAAAGACGTAAAATAAAATCCACGTAGAGCTTTAGTCATAATGTTGCACATTTCCAGTAGCTGGAGTTCACAAACATTCAACTGTGGGTGTGGCGTGTGAGCACAACCATTAATCTCGCAGGAAGACAAATGCAAGCATGCACACAAAAGAGACTCACCCCACTGCAGAGGAGCAAGCTGCAGGTGCTCCAGGACCAGCTGATTGAGGACTCCCTCAACGCTGGCTTCTCCACAGCGACGCAGAGATGGGTGGACGTGGTTAAGGACAGCAGCATGGAAAAGCTTTGGAGAGTTTCAGGAATTAATCAGCACGGGAGTCACTGCTCTATATTTACACATGGAAAAACCTGGTATTAAATAAAAATACATCACACTCTAAATATAACAACAATAACTAACAGACAGCTATTCTGAGGCAGGAACGAAGCCGGAGAAACGTCAAAGATACTCTAATGTAATTAAATTAAAGGAATGAACAGGCCCTTGAACTTCTGTGCTTGTCAGTGTATGCTTGTATGTCTTCAGACGTGGAATGTTGCAGGATTTCGCACAAACAAATGGATATCACTTCCCGTTTCCACTCAGTGCCTGCTGTATACCATATGTCAAAGAGCACATGTGAAAATCAGCTAATGCTTGTGTAATAAGACTGACTCCCTTTTGGCAGCACGTCTAACTCAATATTAAAGGCTATTTAGATAAGACAAACTGAGTATCATGTGGCTGTAAATAATTATATAAAAGTTTAAGTATAAACCTGGAAATTGAAAAAAATGCAATAAAAGTGCTTGATAAAATAAAAATAGCAGGCTTCCTGTTAGGTTTAGAGAATGGCTCCAACTAAGTCTTGTGGTGGTACATGTGCATACTGAATACTTTAACAACAATACTAGAACCCATATAAACCATCCATGTCCATGACCCATAAAATATGAACTTTTTCAATAGTTTCTGACACGTGTAAAGTTTCATGAGTTTTCAAGAATGATTCATTTGTATAAAGAACATTAAAAGAAGCAGGGTTTCGTGCGAGGCAAGTGCATGGACACTTAATAATATAAAATAATAATCTATAACATCATTAATTTGATTTTATCATTGGAGTTTTGATTAGATGGCGAAAAAGCTATAAACACAAGACAATTCTGATAGATTACAGCAAGTCACAACCATTTAAATTAAGCTTTATATCTTCCGCACAAAAGTGGAAACAAACATTAGCCTGTGGTTACACGTATGAGTGTTTGCAGAGTGTCTGCTCTCACGTCTCTCTGTAGCCACTTTCATTGATAACAATAGAAAAGGAGATTCTAAGGAGATTTGGTTTTCTGAAATAGGTCTGAAGCACCGATAACACATCTGCGTGAAAATTAAGAATGATTAATTTATTTGTGTTAGGTGACACAAAGAATCCATGTAAGTGGGGAAAAACATTAATGAAAACAAACACTGAGTCCTAGATATGAACACGAGAAAGGTTGACGGGGTCTAAAGTACTTTTTTAATTCAATTAAATTCAGTTTTAATTATCTAGTGCGAAATCACAAAAGATCCTACAATAACGGGACGAAAACCTCAGAATCAGATCGCCCCCCTATGAGGAAACATGTGGCGACAGTGGGGAGGAAAAACTCCCTTCTAACAGGAAGAAACCTCTAGCAGAACCAGGTTCATGGCGGGGCAGCCATGACGGGACATAAGACACGTAGAAAAGTTCATTGTGCACGTAAGAAATACAGTGTTTGAAATCTTTTCTCTATGCCAACACTCAACACTGAGTGCCTCTCTGTGACAGTTTTTCTGTCTACATACAATATTTCCACAGTAGTACTCTGACAGGCCATTTGCCTGCTCCCTATACTAACACTTTAAGTTCAGAGCACGAGGCCACACGCTTTCATTTCTCTCGTCCTTTCTTATTTTTCCTTATATGAATTTTTATTTTTCTCCCATTCAGATTCTTTCTGCCAGCTTCTAGTTATCTTTAATGTCGAATAAACTGCAAAGTCAATCACGAATCCCCTTTTAAAATGCTCTTAATGATAATTATGGGCCAATACTGTTTTGGCCTTTTGTGTACCTTTTGTTCCCACAAGTGTGTAACAGATTTACTACTGTAGAGAGGAAAGTCTGATTAAAATGCAGGAAAATGATCTTACTTCAGTTTAGATCGTATATACTGAAGAAACCCAAGCAGCAGCTGAGTGGATCTGTTAGTCATTTGGATTACAGTACAAACCTATGTAGATCAGCGGTTTGCTCATTGACCAAAACTGCTTAAACTTCCCCACTATATTATTAAAGAGCCAACACAGCTGCTTCTGTAGATACACTAAATATGTGGATGGATGCACGCGGCTGATATTACACAAACATCCTCGAATAACTACCAAAGCTGTCAAAAAACAGACATTATTTGCTGGTAACAGCACTGAAGACAGATCCATCATGTTATGTTTATGTTTTGCATTCATCTAGAAGTCAAAGGTGAACGGGGAGCATGTTTTTATAACGATCACAGGGAAGGCTATCAATGTATGAATACTGCATCAAAACAAATACGGTTATCAGAGGGCAATTACCCAGATAATATGTGATGACAAGGACGCCGCTGATCATTTACACAGCTGACATTTGGAATAATGGGTGAGACGAGCAGCGCCTAGAGCACCAAACCTGTGTCTATTAACCTTTGAGAGAAAGTGCAGAATGCATGAAGAGGGTAAGAGAAAGAGAGAGTGAAGGCATCTATGGACAAAGCATACTGTGTGGAAAGGTGCGGCTACCTTTCTGTTGAATTGTCTGAGTCACGATGAATCACGTCACATCATCTGTATTCCAGAGAATAACGGTAAAGTGTCAGTGTTGCAGCTTTGATCACTCAAAGCCATGTAGAATTTCTATTTCAAGGCTTTGCTGGAATTGTTGGGTAACACGAGCTGCTAGCAGATATGGTCTGTTTTCAGGTGTACAACAGGGATGATACAGTAGTATAATGATCAGTATCCTGAGCCATGCTTGACTTTTGTTGGAAATTCTCAGTGGACCCTCATATAAGCTTTGAAATAGATATATTATATAATATGGGCATGATTAATGCACAAAGAGTAGTCTCTGTAACAGCACTCTATTGTAAAGAGAGCGTAAACTTTCGCTACACTCATCCAACTTGCAGGAAAGATGTCATGTTCTGAATACAGATTTTAAGTGGATACTGGGTGAAGTGAACAGAATAAGTGTATATGTGTATGTAGGAATCCACATACACAAGGATCTCATCTGGACAACCAACTGCTCCAAGCTGGTCAAGAAGGCTCACCAGCGCCTCTTCTTCTTGAGGACTCTGAGGAAGAACCACCTGTCCTCAGACATCCTGGTGAACTTCTATCGCTGCACCATCGAGAGCATCCTGACCAACTGTATAACAGTCTGGTACGGGAACTGCTCTGCCTCGGACCGGAAGGCGTTGCAGAGGGTCGTGAAAACTGCCCAGCGCATCGCCGGAGCACCACTTCCTGCCATAAAGACATCTACAGGAAGCGGTGTCTGAAAAGGGCTGGGAAAATCATCAAAGACCCCAGTCACCCATCACATGGACTCTTCACCCTCCTGCCCTCTGGGAGGCGCTACAGGAGCCTCCGGACTAAGACCACCAGGTACCGGAACACTTCTTCCCTACAGCTGTCAGGCTCCTGAACTCTGCCTCCTGACATCTGACCCACGTTAAACTCATGGACTGAACATGCACAGTATGTTCTACAACTAGTTCTACAACTGTTTATAACTTGTATAGTTCATATTTCCGTAAAGTTTTCATATCTATATCCTGTTCATAGCCTGTACATAGCTTGTACACTCACTACAGCCTGTACATACTTATAGTTACAGCATATTCGTAACATACCTTCATACCGTGCACATTGTAACATACCTATAATTTTTGTAACATATCTATATTATTGCTAAAGCACTTTCTGGATGGATGCAAACTGCCTTTCGTTGCCTTGTACTTGTGACATGTGCAATGACAATAAAGTTGAATTCTATTCTAATTCTATTCTATTCTAGTCATACGACCAACTGTGAAATAAGCCGGTATTAAATTACTTACCGTAAATGTCGGGCTATAAGCCGCTACTTTTTGCACAAGCTTTGAACCCTGCGGCTTTTAGTCAGGTGCGGCTTTTCTATGGATTGTCCGTGATTTTTGTCATATCGTAAGACGATTTGTTTTGTGTGTTCCGCTGTTGTACGGCACTACGTTGCCTGGCGGAAGGATCGGGGTTCAAGAGTGGTATGTTAGTCACATGTCCGTCCGCCAGGCAACGTAGTGCCGTACGAAGTAGCGCGAAAAACAAACTTCAAAGTAGCGGTACGCGTTCAGCGGGAGTCGTGGATGATGAGCGGCGATAAACTTGCAAGTTATGCCCAAAAAGCAAGTTATGCCCAACTCCACCGGTGGATTCTGACAGCGTGGAAAAGTGTGAAAACATCCACGATCACCAACGGATTTTGAAGGGCTGGACTGCTGCATGATGGAGAGGAGGACACCGCCACGGCCCTTCTGAGGGTGTTCGACTCTGACAACTAGGATTTCTTTGGTTTTGAAAGTGACAACGAAGGAGAGAAGCGGAGAGTGGATGACGAAGCCATCCTGAGCCTGTTTGTATCCGACACTGGAGAAGAGGACTTTGGTGGACCATCCTGAGCCTGTTTGTATCCGACACTGGAGAAGAGGACTTTGGTGGTTTTAGTGCGCAGGAAGAAGAGAAAGATGGTGGTGAATGACTGACTTTTCTTCTTGTTAAAGCTGTGTCACTGCACCTGAGCCTAAAAGGTAGTCCGAATCTATTTTTCTGGTGTGCTGTAGGTTACTGTTATGTACTACATGTGCAAATATGTACCCATAACTTGTTTTTCAAAATATTAATAAAAGTGATGTCTCCAAACAGCCATCTCTTTCCTGACAATTCCCTTTGTGCATATTCTCTTACATATGATAAGTCAACATTGAAACACCTGCGGCTTTTGGTCAGGTGCGGCTAATGTATGTACAAAACAGGATTTTCCCCTGATTTTAGCTTGTGCGGCTAATATTTAGGTGCGCTTTGTAGTCCGGGAAATACGGTATATTTTATTGATCTGGTCAGTTGAGTCGCAGAGGGGGTTGTTAATCAGTTTCAGCTTCTTTGGTGTTAATGAAATTAAAAACAGGTGCACTGGGGGGCAACAATGAGATGATCCCCAAA